AGAAAGAAAGAAAGAATCCTAGCCTGTTACTTGAGTGGTTTATATTACAACCTAGTTGACACACCTCGCTTGCTTCTGTATCCACGAAGCATCTTGTCAAATATGAGAACAGAGAATTACGGGAAAATGCTCGTCCCTGTAAAACCATTACATGTTAAAGACCTTTTGAGTTTGATCCACTTTGAGCATTTTTTGTTTTGCTTTGTCTTTTTGAGATAAGGACTCACTTTATAACTCGTTGTACCAAAGGCTGGACTGAAACTCACTATCTTCCCGCCTCAACTTCCTGAGAACCTTGAATTTCAGGAGTGCATCACCCACTCCGTTCCTAGTCCACATTTCAGCATTAAATCAAATGATAAGTGTTTTTAGCAAGTTGGAGTCTGAACCAGAGCAAGAGGATTTGAAAATGCAACTAAGAATTTTGAATCTTCTTGCCGGGCAGTGGTGGCACACACTTTTAATCCAGCACATGGGAGGCAGAAACAGTTGGATCTCTGTGAGTTTGAGACCAGCTTGGTCTATAGAGTGAGTTCTAGGACAGCCAGGGCTACACAGGAAACCCTGTCTCAAAAATTAAACAAACAAAATGGAAAGAATTTTGAATTTTATCAGTTCTTGTGAGATTTATTTATTTTTTTAATTATGTCTCAAAGATGAATTGGTTGAATTTTATTTAGAAAAACTGTCTAGCATTACATATTATAAGAAATATCCCATTTGGGTCTGTAGATGCTGGTTGAACCTGTTGGTGAAATTCAGCCCCTTTATTTTCCCATCCAGTTTGGTTTCGTTTGGTATGGTTAGAGTCTTAGGTAGCTCAGGCTGGGCTCTGTAGTAGCTGTGGAGACAAGGACAGTGTTGAGCTTCTGATCCTCCTGCTCGCACTCCCGCAGTGCTTGGATTACAGATAAACACCACGGGCGGGGCTTCAGTGGTCCTGAGATTGAACTCACCTGTGCGTGCCAAGCTACCTTGTGTACTTCTGAACTGTATGCCACCCTTTCATACGGCTCCTCTCTTGTGCTTTTGTTTTCAGTAGGAGAGTCCACGCAGGATGGCAAATCAGGATCAGGGGAAAAGATCAAGAAACGCGTGAAAACTCCCTACTCCCTTAAGCGGTGGCGCCCCTCCACGTGGGTCATCTCCACTGAACCCCTGGACTGTGAGGTCAACAACAATGGGAGTGACCGAGCAGGCCATTCTAAATCCAGCACTGCTGTGTACCTCGCAGAAGGGGGCACTGCCACCACCATGGTGTCTAAGGATGTGGGGATGAATTGTCTGTGAGATATTTTCAATCTTATGGAGTGAAATTATTTTTTTGCATCATTTAAACATGCAGAAGACATTTAAAAAACAAACTGCTTTAACCTCCTGTCAGCACCCCTTCCCACCCCCGCACCAGGACTTGCTTTAAATAGATTTCAGCTATGCAGAAAATTTTAGCTCATGCTTCCATATTTTTTAATTTTGTTTTTTAAGTTTTGCACTTTTGTTTAGTCTTGCTAAAGTTATATTTGTCTGTTATGACCACATTATGTGTGTGCGTATCAAAAGTGGTCTCAAAATATTTTTTTAAGAAAAAAAGCAAAACCAGTGTATTGCTGATAATCAGTTTGGACCATTTCTAAAGGTCACTAAAGCAGAAGCAGATTAAGATGGGCCCGACTGCAGCGGTGTCTGTACCCAGGCTTCGTTTATATGTTATCTGTTGAACATTCTTCTCTCGTATTTTATTTGAATGTGCAATAGTCTGTAGACCACAAAGAAGCTTTCTTACCAGCTCTCTCCTAGCAGGGCACACATTCTTCCACTGTTGAAACTTGTCCCCCATTCTTCGATAAGATGAACATTTTCTTGCTTCCTCCTTAGGGAGAATGCATAGACACCGTTCAAAGGGCTCCAAAAAGGACGTACCAAAACCGTTCTTGAAATGCCTTTGTCTTTTAGCCTTCCAAATACCAAGTGTTTCCTTCCAGGCATTTTAATAAGCATATTTGGTTCTGATTTTGGAAGTTCATAAGAGAGCATAGAACAAAACAGAAGGAAGCAAATATTAGCCGTTTCCATTTTATTTTTTCTATGTATGTTCATGTTCCATATTCATTTATTTAATAAATACTTTTTATCAGAAAATTTATAGAGCTAAACTTACGTGGAATTTTTAAGTAAGTAGATGGGCAAGGTGATGTAGTGTAGGAACTTTGGTTTTTCTGACCATCACAAATTAAATTACATTTCCTATTTATAATAACTTCAGAAAAACTCATAGTTTGGAATTTACAATATCTTTTATTGTTTCCCAGCAAAGCCTGACAGCTTTGAAAACGATTCTTCTTCCCATGACCTAAAACACTGTGTGGAGAGCTCAGTCAGCCAGCACGCCCAGTCCTGTGGAGGAAGGGCTTGCTGCCAGACTTAGGACTATTGAGACAGCTAAGATTTACCCTCTTTCTTTCAGTAACTTTCTTTGCTAATCCTGTTTTCATGATTTCTCCCTTTGCCAATTTCACATGGTCCTCGACTTTGAGCAGCATCTATTATTCGTGTTGTGGCAGAGCCTGCCTTCTGGTGACAGCGTGCCGGTGAGGTCACAGTCCCTCTCTCTCCGCTTCTCCTTTTGTCACGAATGATCTGTAAACCAGGCGCTGTGTCTTTTAATAAAGCACTTTCTGTCAGATACGGATTTTCCCTAAGCGTCGTTTCCCGCCAGTTTGCAAACAAATGATTCTGTTTTCAGATGCTCAGAATTCTTATTGTGCATTATCTGATTAAGCTTTAATTTTTTGCAGGGGGAGATAAAAAAGTTAAGTGTAAGTCTCCAAATTCCTGATCTCAGTTCTTGTGTCCTGAACACCATTTTCTCATTTGTAATCCTCTACCCTCACGATTTAACTAAAGACAGCCAGCCCCTTTTCCCAGTACACTGTCCACAGTACTTGTGACTTACTTGTAGGAGCCTTCTTTGACTTGCCATCTGCTGCACTTCTTTGATGTGACAACGTTTAAAACATTTATTCAGCTGCGCTGCTGACTGGAGTCTCAGTCCTTGGATTAAGATGGTCTTATTCTTGCCCGGGGCCCCTTTCTCCCTTTTGTGCTTTATTGGCCTGTCTTGTGGGTCAGATTTGTCTTGTTTCGTTTGGGTTTGGGTTTTTTTTTCTCGTGACAGTGTTTGTCTGTGTAGCTCTGGCTGTCCTGGAACTCACTCTGTAGACCAGGCTGGCCTCGAACTCAGATTCTTAGTATAAATTTTGTCTTCTGACATCAGTTTATTTCAGATAGTGATGATTTTTTTATCTATGTAACAATAATTTGTGTCTTTTACTTCCTTTTCTGTCCATATGTCTTTCAGATGCATTTCAGGATTTTTGTTTTTTCAGTTGTTGGACAACTTTAAATCAAAATAAATTATATTCCTTCCATCTCTAACTGAAGCACTGAGAATAAACGACCCCTGGAGGTCCAGCAGGTCTTCTTCTGTCAGAAAACTGCCTTCCATTCTAATAGTTTGTGTTAAGGCCAGTCACTTGTGAATTTCCCAACAGTCTTTAATGGTTAATACATTTATGAAATGCTTTAAAAATTAATATGCCAGGTTAAAAGAAAAAGGGTATCGTTTCCAATCTCATGCAGATAAGTTTAAAACAAATAATTCCTTTCACTAATACATGGTAACTGCTTGAAAAATAGGAATGGTAGAAAGCATAGGTCCTTTTAATAAGTTTTGGAATTTATAATACAGAGCACTCAAAAATCGCTTTAATAACTTAAATTACTTGTTCACTTTATTTATCTGATTTTTTAAGCTGAAACTGAATTTACCACAAGATTTCACATAAAAATTAATGTTGGGTCTTTTGATTAAAAGTCATTCAGTTCAAAAATATTTCCCTGAACAGTATTATAATCTTTAAAGAACCATAACAGGACATTTTCTTTAAAAAATGCCATTTGTGGGGCTGGAGAAGCAGCAAGGCAGCTAGCAGTGATTTCTGCTTTTCCGAGGACCCAGGTCGAACTCACAGCAGCCGCATGGCTGGTCACAGCCTCCTGACGTGCACATGACACCCTACACAAACGTACACATAACTAAAAATATAAAAATAAATCTTAAAATCCTAATCGTATACCAAAACTAAGTAATGGAAAGAACTTAATTTGAATTATGTATAGAATAAAGTGATTTAAATAAAAACCCTAAAACATTTAAATGTATAATTTAAAACCACTTTTACTGAGGACATTGTGAAAGGACATACTCTGAAAACTGGCGTGTACATGCACTATTTTCTCATCTTCACAGCAGCCATATTTTAATTAATTTTCATATTTTACGAACAAGGAAACATTAAGAGATGATACCTAATTTGTCCAAGTTTACCTAGGGTAAAATCCCAGGTTCGTTTCTGCACATCTCTTTCATCCACACACGGTCTGCTTCCTTCATGGACAGATGTGTAATGCACTGACATTTTTACTCCAGCAGATTGTGACTTGTATATAAGCCACGCCAGATAACTTAATGGTTTGAGAAGTTAGGTAATCACTATTGCTTAAAGACAGTTACTAATTCAGTACAAAATTCAGCCTACACCCTAAAATCACGTTGCTTTTCGTCTGATACATTGCAGAACTGAAGGCAAAGTCAACTTTAAGAGGAAGGTGAAGGAAGCTGAGGGAACTAACAGAGAGACCCTAAAGTGATCCCATATTAGATTTAGAAAAAAATTTAATATAAATTTTCAGTCTTGTCAATCCTTTGACTCCATCTGTAAAATTTCTGCTTTAGCAATGCTAGAAAAAAATGTTAAGTCAAAGAACCAAATAAGATGTATATGATGTAGAAAAATACAAAATTAACACCCTTTATTATTAGTAGTAATGTTTTGCTTTTTCGAGACAGGGTTTCTCTGTAGCTTTAGAGCCTGTCCTGGAACTAGCTCTTGTAGACCAGGTTGGCTTCGAACTCACAGAGATCCACCTGCCTCTGGCTCCTGAGTGCTGGGATTAAAGGCGTGCGCCAACACTGCCCGGCTGCTAATACCCATCTTTATAAGGCAGGTTGTCATAGCTTCCTTACATGTGTGGTTTGTTCCAGAAACTGTATGTTGGTTCTGAATGAGAAAACAGAGAAGGGTCACTCAATAGTCAGTCCGTGGGAATTATCACAAATTTTGGCAAATATTTTTATTAGAGTATTTCCAAGTTTGATTTCTGAATCCCAAAGGAATACCCGGTAAGCTGTAGCTGTTCGGTTGCACAGTTGGTCTCTATTAACAAGTCATTTAAGATGAAAAAAATCCAATAAACATTTCCTGTTCCCATATTTATGGACATTCGTGAGTCCCTCACTAGTATTTGATATTGTATTTTATTTTATACCATATTTTTAAAGCCTATGTTGAACTTAGTACCTGTCTTGTGTATGTTATTACATGACTATTCACACAGATTTTTAAAATATATATATAATTACTTTATATCCTTAATTCCTTAAAAGATAGATTCTTCACGCATGCTAGCTGATGTTCTAGACCTGCGATTTCAGGAAGTGTGTAACACTCCCGCAGAGACCCCAGGAATCTTTTTTTTTAAGCTATGATAATTTTCAGTATTCACACCCTTGACTGACAGCGGGTTGTGGTGTTTTTTGTTTTCCAGAAGATAAAGTTGCATTTTAACCTTTTTGTTTAGATTATAAACTATGCAAACTTTGTCCAAAAACTTCCTTACATGATCCCTTCCTAACCCTGCTGATTGATTACGTCAGGCTGGCTGGCTACCTCCTGAGCAGGCCTCTCCGTGTGCCCACAGAGGTGGCCACCTGCTAGTCCTCTCTTTAAATCCCCTCATGGGTTATCCTGCCTGTCCCTCCACTGACAGGCAGTCCTGTGTCAGGAGAGCTTTCTTCATACCTGTTCTCTCTCTCACATGTGATTGGTGTGTTTCTCATACATACATACATACAGGGAAAAGAGAATAGAAGGCTGTCCTCTCTGTTGCTCTTAGTCGGCTTCAGGCTTCTCAGCTAACCCTGTTCATCAGATAAAATTGTCCCGGTTCTGCTAGGTCTTTTCTGCTCATCTGTTTTGATGGCTTTATCTATATTTAAAAGCACATAGAATTCTATGTTATGTTCAGATGAATTGCTCCAGTTAATTTATAGCACAGCAGCTTGGTAGGACTCAGTCCAGATGTCGCCATTCGACATTGAATTAAATCATCATACCACCCAAAATCAGCACTTAATTTTGTATTAGCTACATTTTCTATTAAAGTGTATTTTATGATTTTATATCTGCACAGGTAGAGCTAAAAAGCCATGCATATAAGCATTTATAATTGTGTATCATTTTCTCTAAACTCGCACTGCGTCACAGGGAGTTTTAGTATTGTGATTGAGCCACAACAAATCCTGTACATTTTTCTTCATATCAAATACTGTATTAAACACTAGATGCAGAATTATCTTTCAAAAGCAGACCCTACAAAAATCAGGTATTATCCATGGATATTTTTGTATTTTTGTAGACCACTTTTGAAATGCTTACCGTTGTTTTTGCAGCATAGAGTGGGTGGACTGGGACGATTTTCATTTAACTTTCAAGTAGTTAAAGTTGGGTGTTTGCATAGAAAGTAAATCTTCAAATTTTATCTCATGGCATATAGATTTGAAAGTAAATATTCAAGAGGCTATACTATATGTTAAAATTATGCCCCAAATAAATCTATTAAACCTTTAGAATTCCAATTTTATCTTTACTATGGTGTTTGAGGTGTTTCTAATGAACGTTGTAAACACACATGTTCATTTGTAAAATTTAGTTTGGAGCCCACATTAAAATCCGGAGCAGAAGGAATCTTTAGAACTAAATTGCTTCATTAGGATGTACAGTTTGTAGCTGAATTTTAAAGAAAATTGACTGTACTTGAAATTACAACTTAACTGTTTCTTCTTTTTAAAAGACTCCCCCCATTTTATTTGTATTTTAAATTTCAGAAACATCTCATGGTTTGAATCACCTTTAGACATAGTATTACTTAAAATCTCAGGGCGCCTTTCGTCTGTTTGTACTCTGACCCGTCAGTTGACAGCAAACAAGCAATTAGATCTAGCTGGATATTTAAACGTGTTTGTTGCATAGTAATGTGTCATCATATTATTTGACTTAATTCACATTGACATGATATTTGATTTCATTAATCGTAAAAACTTGCCCAGTTCTGTAATTACTGAATAGAAGGAATGACTCAACTAATTGGCCACATGGTATGGCAGATTTAAGCCTTGGAGTTAAAGCACCGGCTTAAACACGTTCTGTTCTTGGTTCCGTGGTTACATGTGATGGAGCCAATGTTTTGTTTTGGTTTGTGTGTGTGTGTGTGTTTTTTTTTTTTTTTATAATAAGAGAGCTTAGGAAAAGTAATTCTGAGATAGAGTTTTCTTAAGAGATAATTAGCATTATAAAACTGTCTTCTGGAGGTGAGCTGATGACCACAGCTGTAGTGATGAGAAGGTGATCTCTGGTAACCGGTGTTCACGCTGGCAGAGCCAGTCAGTTCTTTAAGTCAGACCAACTTAAGCTCCAATTGGTCTGTTGTCTGTTTAAATCTTAGCAGTGGGGTTGTTTGTAATCAGTCTCTTGTCTCAGGCTCCCTACCTTGTTATCAGTCTTAAGTATATAAAAGAAACAGTTGTAAAGATGTGTAAGGGTAAGAAAACTAATGACTAAAAAATGCAATTCAAAGAAATTAGGTTTCGATTCAAGATTGAGTTGCTGACTTCTGTGGCTTTTTATCCTTTCCTGGTAACATTTATTTATTTAAGCGACGTTGTATGTTATGTCTCCGTATCTATAGATTGTATTGTATAAGTGTTTGTGTAAGCTGGAATCATCCTGAATTTTCTGTTGCTAATTTTTCAAGTGAATTTCATGGATAACTGTAAAATACACTAACTCTTAGGTTGTTATAGCTGAAACATGGAGATGTGTGGCTGCCGTGTTTTTTCTGAACGGACAGGAGAAACATCAGCTGCCAAGTATTCACTTCTGGGGAGGCTGACAAGGTTGGCTCCTCCTCGGAACCCTCTTTCTTGTTAACGGGTATCTTCTGTTGGTGTATTTTGTTCTTACATTACAGATAGAAAATCGTGTGTGAGTTTATGAATAATTACTTTCAGTTATTTTGCTTTTGTATAAGCCATCTGAGACCTTGCTATGCTGTATAAGTTGTGTTTGATGGAGCAGTGTGAGTATGAAATAAAGCAGATCACTTTCTTTTGTATTATCTATGGATGCCACTATGAACGCTGACATTAAGCCACTAAAGAGTTTTCTATGAATAAGTGTAAGTAAATGCTTTGATATATATAAACCTAAATAAAAGATTGTATTGAGACAGAGACATTGGCAAAGGAAGTTTTAAGGCAGTTCTTTAGGTTTGAAAGGCTTGCTGTAAAATGGTGCATTATTCCATTTATTAAAGATCATATTAATGACATTAAGTGTATTTTTAAAAAGATTTATTTACTTTGTGATCATCGGTGTTTTGCCTGTACGTATGTCTGTGCTAGGGTGTGGGATCCCCTCGAACTGGGGGTTACACTGTTTGTGAGCCGCCATGTGGGTGCCGGGAATTTAACCCAATCCTCTGGAAGAGCAGCCAGGGCTGTGAACTGCTGAGCCACCTCTCCAGCCCCATAAAGTGTATTTTTTTTTAATCTCATGCAGTCTGCAGAAATTGCCAATGCTAATGTGGTATCCTCGAGACATTGCAGTAGAGTCAGTAACCGTTCTACTTGACTCAGTGTGATACAAAGTATCAGCTGCAGTTAGAGCCGTAGCCATTCTACTTGACTCAGTGTGATACAAAGTATCAGCTGCAGTTAGCGCCATAGCTGCTGCTTTCCAGCTGCTCAGCCTATGCCAGACATCATCTTACTTTACGTCCAAATACCTGTTCCCTCTCTTGTGGAAAAGTAGAAGTTCAGAAAATTCCTTCAAGCTCAGAGCTGGTAAGTGGTGAATAGAAACCCAGTGATCCTTTGTTTTTTTGTTTTTGTTTTTGTTTTGTTGTTGTTGTTTTTGGCTCCCCCCACCCCCGAGACAGGGTTTCTCTGTAGCTTTGGAGCCTATCCTGGCACTCGCTCTGTAGACCAGGCTGGCCTCGAACTCACAGAGATCCGCCTGCCTCAGCCTCCCGAGTGCTGGGATTAAAGGGGTGCGCCACCACCGCCCAGCCCCAGTCTTCGAGCTTTGCTTGTGGCCAGGAAAACTCATAAACATGAGTAAAGTCCGCTCAATGGTTAGAGTAGTCAAGAACAAATCGAAGTGTCTGATGCTGCCCAGAGCCACTGCTCCTCTTTCCTTCTTGCCCTGGGGATGTGGGCCCATGACAGCAACCTCACCACTCAGGATGCAGAAATAGGACTGTCAAAGCCAGGCAGTGGCGGTGCGTACCTTAAATCACCTCACTTGGGAGACAGAGGCAGGTGGATCTCTGTGAGTCTGAGGCCATCATGGTCTATAGAGACAGTCAGGTCTACACAGAAACCCTGTCTTGAAAAACCAAAAAATAAAGGCCAGCAGCCGGGGATACATGGTAAAACTGTTTCAAGAAATTAAAAAAAAAAAAGTGAGCTGACCATACAAACCTGGTAACCTGCGTTTGACTCTCAAAGAACTGAAGTTATCCTTGGATGCCTACTTTAGCAAAACACTGTCCACAGTAACAATAAAAAGACACAAGATATATAAAAATAATGTTTATAAAGGGCTAAAATGGGGTGATAGACTGCTTACCTAGTATGTATGAATTTCCGGTTCCCCCTCCCCAGTATTGAGGGTGGCGGGGTGACGGAGATGTTGAGGAGGTGGGGGTGATAAAAAAAAAAGATTTTTTTGTCTACCTTTTTAACTCTTTTTTTTTTTTTTAAGACAGGGTTTCTCTGTGTATATAGTTCTCTCCGAACTATATACATCCATGCGCACATGCACGTGTAAGTCACTCTTAGATCTTAGGTCTTCTGAGTTTCTCTGAAAGCAGCTTGACTGCACACCATCTGTGAGGTAGGCTGCAGGATGTGTGCATGTGGAGTTAAGCTGAGCAGAACAAAAAGTGGGTTGGGGAGTGTGGCTGTGATGTATGACATCACCGTGGCTTTCAGAAGAGTGTGTTTTCAGGTATTTCAAATGCGTTCATTTTACACTTCACTGTTACCGTTTTTTCTTTTACTCATCACATTTAGTAAAATGAGAAATCATGCAATCTTCATGAATCTCCATGGATGTAGGAAAAGGAGGCTCTTCAGTTTGATGAGGAAATTTTGTCAACCTTGATGACAGAGGTCAGTTGTAATTTTATCATCAGACCAACACCCAGCCATGATCTGCTGAACCAGACATCACCACTCCTGAGATAATTCATTCTAGCCACAGTTACCCTCCAGGAGATGGTAATGAACCAGGAGCAGTGCGTCCTTGTACCACCTGGCCCCTAGGTGGCGCTCCTAGTTTTCTAATTGCTGGATTTTTTTTTTCCTTTCAAAGACTTACCTTGTCAAATTTTGCTTGTAATGTTTTCTTTGGGGGATGGGTGTCCAAAACAGGGGTTTCCTTGTATGTTCCTAGCTGTCCTGGAACCAGCTCTGTAGAGCAGGTTGGCCTCGAACTCACAGAAACCCGCCTGCCTCTGCCTCTTGAGATCCACAACCACCTTTTTTTTTTAAATTACTTTTATTTGTGAGTGTGCGTGTCTAGCACACAAGTGTCATGCCTGTATATGGAAGTCAACAGACAATTTGTGTGAGTTTGTTATCTCCTCCTACCGTGTGGGTCCCAGGATTCAACCACAGATTTGGAGGCAAGAACCTTTGCCCCTGAACCTTCTTACTAGTAGTCCAGTACTGGTTTCATTTTGATTTTCCAAACCCAGCTAGCAGGGCAGGCCCTGAGAGCACAGTGTACATTTAGGTTGAGTGCTTTCCACTGGCTGAAGTTTGAGCTTGGTGGAAGGTCTACACAGATTGGCCCTCTCCAGAAGAGAATGGGCTAATAAAGCCAGATCTTAGGACGTCACTGGAGTTTTGCAGTGAAATGTAAATTACAATTTATGTTTGTGTATGGATGTGTGTACATCTGTGTGAGAGGGCAGTGTGTTCTAGGGCACATGCGTGAAGGATATGGATCCTTCCCTTCTACTTCGAGGCAAGGTCTCTCGCGCTCGTACCTGCCCTACTCCAGAGGAGCTGGCCTTGGGGCTGCCTTTGTCTCTGCCTCCAATTTTACCTTGGACAAACTAGAATTACAGACAGAGGCGAACCTCGGAGGCTTTTCTCGGGCTCCAAGGGACAGCGCTTGGGTTCTTAGACTTACACAGCCAGTACTTGAACCAGCAGAGCCATCTCCCCAGCCCATAATCTACAATTTCTAAAACGTCAGAAAAGGGGTCTTTCATAAGAACTCTAGCATTTGACAGAATCCTGTCAAAGTTTAGCCAAGTTCTGTGAGAATATAAGTTGGCTTTCTCAATATTTTTTTGAGGAAGTAGAGGCAGAGGCAGAGGGATCTCTGTGAGTTCTAGGCCAGCTGGATCTACAGAGCAAGTTCTGGGACAGCCAGGACTACATACAGAGACTCTGCCTCAATTTTTTTTCTTTCTATCTTAACATATGTACCAACATTAAGAACAAGGTTGGGAGCCAGGCCGTGGTGACACTTGCCCTTAATTCCAGTACTTGGGAGACAGAGGCAGGTGGATCTCTGTGAGTTCAAGGCCAGCCTGATCTACTGAGTATCCCCCCCCCCCCCAGAAAAGGGCTGGACAGATGTCTCAAGTCTTGCAAGAATAAAGACCAGAACCCACATAAAAAACTCTGGATGTGTTGCTGTACACTTGTAACCCCCGCTGGGCAGGCAGAGACAGCCACCCTAACTAGCCTGCATAACAACCTGCCAGCCTGCGAGAGCGTGACTCAGAAGGTAGAGGTGATTGACTACAATTCTGACCGCCTGAGTTGGATCCCTGGGGTCCTCATGGTAGAACAGACTCCAAATAATTGTCCTTAACTCCACATGTTCACCGTAGCGTATTTGCACTCCTGTCCCCCCACACCCACACACAAATAAATGTAAAAGAAAAAATAGACAGAAAACAAGGTGGATAGCTCCAGACTCAATCTGGAACTCAGGATTGTCCTCCAGCCTCCATATTCATAACCAAAACATATACATATGCCTTCACACACCCTAGTATGCAAATGTGTGCGCACGCACACACACCAATTGTTAAATAATGTACTAGCCAGCTTTCTGTTTCAATAACAGAATACTTGGGGCAATGTAGTGGCATTTCAAATGTATTTTAATAAATAAAGTTTGCCTGAAGATCTGAGAGTAAAACAGTCCCACTGGTCAGCCTTTCAGACCAGATTATGGTAACACACACCTTTAATCCCAGTAGCCACACTAGTTGCCATAGAAACTTGGCGGTGCACACCTTTAATCCCAGCCCTAGAGAGGAATATAAAATGGGGAAGACAGCTCTCAGGCTGTTTCCTTCTGAGATTCCAGGAGGTAGGATCACTATTTTAGACTGAGTTCGAGATAAGAGCCAGTGGCTAGCTGTTTTGCTTTTCAGATCTTCAGGTTGAACCCCAGTTTCTGACCCTGAGTTTTTATTAATTGTGCTCCAGGGTAATTAATTTATAAAGAGACATGGCTCCTGGTAAGCCAGACACTTTAAGTGATAGAGTCCGCTGTCTACATTTGTACCTGGCTCAGCAAATAGTGATCTCTGACTATAAAGAAGGCTTCCCAAGAGGTTTACAAGGAAATGTTTTCTATTTCCCAACCCAAGGCTGTTTGAAGAATTCAGACAGGCTACCAGAGCTGGGATAGAGTTCCTTTAGGATTTCAGCAAATCATGTTTGTTCTAGAACCCTCCCCTCAATTACATTTGATTTTCTGTGTCATTTACACATGTGACAATTAAGAGCGAATACTTTCGTGTCTGCTCTCTAGGAAGATAGCACTGTGGTGAGCACGGGGCACACTGGCCAGCTGTGCTTTGTTTGGTCTACAAAACATTTAAAAAGTGTTTTTATGTGAATGCCTCCTAAGTAGGACCGGGACCTTCCCCAGAGCAAGTAATCTTGAATTACACTCTGCAAGATTTATTCATTTTTGTTACTTCCAAGTCTTTGTAAACTTTAGTTTGTACCTGCTCCAAGAACCTTTACTCCAGACATAACACGAATACAAAGTCCGGAGGAAATGCTTGGCATTTTAAGTGCACTGGAGAGGAGAGCCAGCCACCCACTTTGAAGCAGGACAGCTTGCTTGTTCTTGTCCTCATTAGCACAGGGTACCACTCTTGCCCACTTCTCTGCTCTGCATCCTCTGCAACCTACATGTAAACAGGATTCAGTACTCATTCTTGAGAATTGACTACTACAGAAAAAAAAAAACCACCTGTATTATCCTATCCCCAACTGGATTATCTTAA